GTTCCCCCCCATTTTGTATTCTCGGGGGAGGGGCCTTCTCTCCCGGTGGCCCCCACCTTGGCCCCACCACCTCAAAGTATCTCCCGCTCCCTCCCCCCAACCCTCCCCCTGGCTGGCTTCTCTCCCCACCCCCTGCCCCCGCCTCTCCTCTCTTTTCTGTGTCTCTGTTCCTCTCCCTCTCCTCACCCCTACCTCCCAGCGCCCTCCCTGTGTTCTTTTTTACTCCCCCTCAACATCCCCAACCCCGGCTGATGCCATCTCTGGTTCTGGACAATTATCAAATATATCAGTGGGGAGAGAGACGCGGTGTGTGTGTGCTTTCTGGACTGGAGGTGGGGGCGGGATGTGCCCCTGTGCTGGCGGGGGGTCACGCCATGCCAGGCGTATGGCCTGGCCCCAGGGTCATCGAATCAAGGAGTTTTCGGTGGAACTAAAGTTACAGTGAAAGCAGCTTGAATTCCAGGCAATGGGATTACGGGATCAGACTCAGACTCGTGATCCTCTCCTGTTGGAGTAGGACCCAGAGGCATGTCAGCGACACCATGATGGTGGTTCAGTGAGCATCCACTCTGTTCTGCCCTCTGCTAAGCACTCTATGTGTATAAACTCATTTAATCCTCACAGGCATGAGGCCCAGAGAGGGAGAGTGACTTGCTTAAGGTCACACAGCTGAGAGGTGACAAATTTGGGATTTGTAGAAGCGGTCCAAGCTCTAAGTCACTGTGCTATTTTCTCTTTTTTATTCTCACCCAAGGATATTTTTCCATTTATCTTCAGATAGAGTGGGAAGGAAGGAGAGAGAGAGAGAGAGAGAGAGAGACATCAATGTATCTCACATAGATTGGTTGCCTCCTGCATGACTCCGACCAGAGCCAGGGATGAACTGCAACCCAGGTACGTGCTCTTGACCGGAATCAAACCCGCAACTTTTGGGTCTGTAGGCTGACTCTCTAACCACTGAGCCACACCAGCCAGGGCATCTCTCTCTTTTTAAAAACTGATACTAGAGCCTGGCCAGTGTGGCTCAGTGGCTGAGTGTCGACCCATGCACCAAGAAGTCGCCAGTTCGAATCCTGATCAGGGCACATGCCCATGTTGTGGGCCCGATCCCCAGTGTGGGGCATGCAGGAGGCAGCCAATCGATGTTCTCTCATCGATGTCTCTATCTCTCTCTCCCTCTCCCTTCCTCTCTCTCTCTAAAAGCAATAAAGAAAAAAATTGTTTAACTCTTACTAGAGAAAGGAATGGGGAGGAGAAAGAAATATTGATGTGAGAGAGAAACATCGATCAGCTGCCTCCCTCAGGTGCCCCAACCAGGGATGGAATCTGCATCCTGGGTATGAGCCCTGTCCAGGAATCGAACCTGCCACCTTTTGGTGCATGAGACAAAGCTCCAACCAACTCAGCCACCCAGCCAGGGCTCTCTCTCTCTTTATTGAGATAAACTTTCATAGAGTGAAGTACACAAATCTTAAAAGCACAGCTCAACAATTTAAAAAATTACATCCACCCTGGCCTGGTGGCTCAATTGGTTGGAGCATTGTCTCGTGCACCAAAAGATGGCAGATTCGATTCCCAGTCAGGGCACATGACCGGGTTTTGGGTACTATCCCTGGTCCAGGTGTGTGTAGGAGGCAACTCATCCATGTTTCTCTTTTACATAGATGTTTCTCCCTCTCCCTCTAAAATCAATAAATAATAATAATAATAATAATAATGATAATAATAATAATAATAATAAATTACATCTGCCCAGATCAAGGTATAGAACATTTCCACCCACCCAGGAGGTTCCTTTGTGCCCCTTTCCCATCAGCCCCCCCTCCAAAGGCAACCACTGATCTGATTTTTGTCACCATCCTTTAGTTGTACCTGTTCTTAGACTTTGTATAAAGGAAACCTTATGGCATGTTGTCTCATGTGTCTGACTTCTTGTTCTCAGCATCATGTCTGTGAGAGTCACCCTCATTGTCACGTGTTGGTAGCACATTCTTTTTCATTGCTGTGTAGTATTCCACTGTGTGACTATAACATAATTTGTTCATCTGTTCTGTTGATAGACATTGGGTTGTTTCCACTTTGAGGGCTATTGCAATCGGTGCTGCTAGGAATAGGAACATTCTAGCAATGATATATTGGGTACATGCCTAGGAGTGAAACTGCTGGTCATGGGATGGACTGAGTTTAGCTTTAATTGAAACAGCTAGACCTTTTCCAGAGCTCTGTGTCATTCTGCATTTCCACAGTACATGCAAGTTCCAGTTGCTCCATAACCTAGTCAACACTTGATATTGTCAGTCTTTTGAATGTCAGCCATTCTGGTTGGGCAGCTATTCCGCCTCCCTCAAGGCAGCCTTTCTAACACAGCCCAGAGATGCGAGTCAGAGGAGGAGCTGGGGTCAGGATGCTGAGAGCTCACAAGTGTGGCTGAGTGTGTGCACATGCCCACTGCACAAAACAGCGCTGAAGGAGTGAGTGCTTGAATCTGAGGGGGAGGGGTTGCGTGAGCCTGGACCTTTCCCAGGGAGGCTGCAGAAACTACATTATTCATCAGGTACAGGGTAAGAAATGCTCCCATAGACAGAAATGCAATCAGAGGCCCAGAGAGGCCAGGGACCTCCTTGAAGTCACACAACAGTGATATAACCCAGGTTTCTGTGTTAAGGTCTTTTTACCCTCCCAGCTCTTCTTCCTCTGGGGACCCAAGAGGCAGGAAGGAGACCTTAGGCTAGACTCTAGCCACTAGAGGGACCATGGGGCCAAGGCCCATCTCCCACAGCCTTATCGGGCAACCCCTCATCTCCTACCATCCCCCTAATTCAGGGTCCACCTGCCACAGGCCCCCTCTCTCAAGGACCCAATCGCCCACTATCGCCTTGTCTCAGGGATCTTCCTACCTTTCACAATCTCTCTCTCTGCCCCCAATACTTGTTTCAAGGGTCTCCTCTCCCACACTGCCCCTGGGACAAGGCCCCATCTCCCTAAACCCCTCATTCAAAGTTCCTCCCATGCCCTGCTCAGAGGCCCCCTCCAACAATGTCCTTGCCTCTGGACCCCACAGTCCATGGCCCATGCTGTTTGACACCTCCAGGCCTTCTTTGCCCATTATGTCCTCTGCTCAGAACAAGTGCTGGTGGGTTATGGAGTAAAATCACTTTCATTGAGTTCCTGTAAACTCTCATAACAAAAGTCAAACCCACATTTCTCAAGGTTGGCCATGGGGGGAAGCAGCTGCTGGACCTCTGCCTCCAACTCTATGCTCTCCAGTATTTATTTTCCTCTTGGGGGCTCTTTCATTGGTGACCCTTGCTGCGCCTATCACTTTGAACTCAGGTGGTGCTCCCCTATTAACACTCTGGACTAAATGTGCACTCACCATCCTCCTTTGAGTTCCTGAAGCCAAGTGGGAAACCTGAACAACACTCTACTAAAAGTCTGGGGCTGATAAACAGTAACAGCCAATTTGATCTTCGAAGTGTGGCTCATTCAGCTTCAGTTTAGGAACCCCCTCAGACCCCCTCAGAGGGCCTCCCTGCCTATTTCTCCACTAGCCCCTTTGGCAGAGGCCTGTCCCCCAACTCCTGGGAGTGCCCTCTAGTACTCTGTCCATGTTCTCTGGGTGAGAACATGGACAGAGGCCCTGCAGGGTGCAGTCACTTCCTGTATACAAGCCAAGTCAACCATGCTGAAGTCTCTATCTTATTCCCTGGCTGACTGGCTCTTTGCCACCTCAAAGCCCAAACCAAAACAGGATGTGGACCTTGGAAGACAAGAGTTAGGGCTAAGAGTCACCTGGATAGCCCACATGGGGTTTCTCTTTCAGTCCCATCGAGCCTTGAAAAATTAGGCCCCCAGTCCAGGCTTCCTGACACTTCCACACACATTCTTGAGGCTGTTCTGTGCACCCCTTTAGAATGTTGGTTGTTTTCCCACAAATCACTCAGAGGTGGGGTTGGGGCAAAGACTGAGAGAAACAGCTGTGAGAACTAGGGCAAAGAAAGGCCCAGGTCTCAGACATCCAAGGGGCCAGCAGCCCTGAATATGTTACTGTTAAATTTGAGAAGGCTGAACTCTATAGAATAATCATAACATTCATACTATAGTAGCAATAACATCCACTACCATTTATTGAGCAACTACATAGTATCAAGGCGTAAGCACTTTACATGGACCATGCAACTGAATTACCATAACCCAGTTGAGTGTGGTATCAGGATCCTCACTGTCCAGGTGAAGACAATGAGGTTCAGGGAGCTGATGAGGTCAACACAGCGTGAATTTTCACCTCTGACTCCAAATCCCAGCTCTTTTGGTTACAACAACACCCTCTTTAAAAAATTCTCAATGGCTTCCCTTTCCCAACGTCCCTCCTTCCTACTCATGGGGGATGGGGAAGTGGGGGCAGGGTGTCTCTAGGTTCCTAGTCTTAACCTTGGGAGCCCAAAGGTTTGAGGGGAGTTTTGCTCCCCACCTCAGATACCCCTTCCAGCAACCATGGCCCTCTCACTAGTTTCTGCCTCTTGAGGAAGGAAGAAATAAGATTCCCATGAATTCTCTAGTCTCACTATACAAACGTGGTCCATGCACCAGTAACATCAGCATCACCTAAGAACTTGTTAAAAATGCAGATGAATGGGCCCCACCCCAGATTTGCTGAATCAGTGTTTTATGAAGCCTCCAGGTGTTTCGTTAGCCCTCTAGAGTCAGAACGACAACTCTACACGGTCCCCATTGTACCCTCAACGGGAGAGAGTAACACCAGCTTCTGCCTTTAGAGCTCCCTTCACGGTGACTCCCGACAACCTTCCCGACGCCACACTCCCGGCTTCTGGAACTACAACTCCCACAATGCCCAGAGGCTCTCGTCGTCACTTTATGAGACTACATTTCCCATGACGTTTTGCGAACCAGACTACCATCACGGCGTCCACCCTTCCCGACATCATCAGAACTACAAGTCCCACAATGCTCCACGGCAGAACTCCCCTCCCCAGCGGCCCCCGAACGGCGCCACGTAGGCTCGGCTGGGTGGGGCCCCGCTCCGGAGGGGCCGGCGGGGTCTGCAGGACCCAGAACTCGTAACAGCGGTTCTGCTCCTCAAGACACAGACATGGCAGCCGAGAAGGACCAGCAGAAGGATGCCGAGGCGGAAGGACTGAATGCCGCGTGAGCAGGCCGGCTTAAGCTCCCCCTGACCGAGACCCCGGAGTCCTGGCCCTCCGTCCCTTCTCCCTCGGGTCCCAGGAATCCAGTCCCCCAGACACCAGAGTTTAGGCCCCTGGTCTTCCCTTCGAGGACTCTGGAGCCTGGGCCCTCAGCCCCCTCTTCCCCTAAGATCCAGGAGTAGTCTTGCACCCTTACCCCCCAGAACCCCGGAGTGTGGCCCCCCCCAAGCCTCCTGTAGCTGGGGGTCGGGCCTCCATCCCCGTCTACCACTGACCTGTCCCCGCCCACCAGGACTCTGCTGCCGAAACTGATCCCCTCCGGCGTGGGCCGTGAGTGGCTGGAGCGGCACCGCGCCACCATCCGGCCCTGGGGCACGTTCGTGGACCAGCGGTGCTTTTCGCGGCCCCGAAACGTGGGCGAGCTGTGCCAGCGCCTCGTGCGAAACGTGGAGTACTACCAAAGCAACTATGTGTTCGTGTTCCTGGGCCTCATCCTGTACTGCGTGTGAGTGCCTCCCCGCCCCCGCCCCCGCCGATCGCACTGGTCAGCTCTGCCCTCAGCGGCCAGCCTCTGCCCTCACTGGCCAGGCCCCCGCCCACACGGGATAGCCCTGCCACCCTTTCACCCAAAGTCTGGTCCCTGCTTCCCAATCAACCTGGCCAGTGTGACCAAATGTGACCTGAACGTGCCTGGCTTCAAGGACATAGCCTGCCACCCGCTGGTGTAGAAAGTCAGGGTCCTAGCTGGGCCAACCCCAGCTGCCTGACTGATGTCTGCCTGCCCTCCTCCAGGGTGACATCTCCCATGCTGCTGGTGGCCCTGGCCGTCTTCTTTGGAGCCTGTTACATCTTTTACCTGCGCACATTGCAGTCCAAGTTTGTGCTCTTCGGTGAGACATCCCCTGCCCTGATGGACCCCTGGACCCTCAAATCCTGGTGTCTTGGAACAAATCCCTAGACCCCCAAATCCAAATCTGCCCACGCCTAGATCTACACAAGATCCCCCCAAAATCTCAGACTCACCAGATGCTCTCACCCAGTCTCAGCCGCCCAAACTTTTATTCCCCAAACCTAGAATGGGATACCCCAGAACTCATTCTCCACCTAGGTCCTGTCCATTTATCCTACTCTCCTTCTCCCTCATCCCTAACCTCTTTGGGGAAAGCATCAGCTGCAGATACCCACACTGGACACCAGGTGGCAATCTTACACTGGTCTCGATCTGTCCCCATCCCTGTCCCGCTTCCTGAGGGGCGGAGGGGGGGGGATTAGAAAGGTCCTGGGACTTCTCAGAGAGGGAAGCTGAGGCCTGTGGCTCATGTGGTCCCAGACTGCCACCAAGCACTACTGGGAAGAGAGGCCTGAGTCCCCACTCGGGATGCTCAGGGTTTGGAATGGTGACAAGAAGTTGGGATCAGATAAGTAGGTAGTCCCTTCAGAGGCCTGCAGGTTATGTACATGACAACGGTGGGCTGGTGGAGAGGCATGGTGGACAAGCCCAGGGCTGGAGGGAGGGCATGGAGGGAGCACCCGGAGCACAGCCACAACCTGGTTTCAGCTGCTACTGCCCCAGGGGCCTGCACACTTGTTCTTCCCTTCTGCCATGAGAAACCAGAATCTGTATTGTTATGTGAAATCATTTGGTTGCTCTGTCAGCCTCAAGTCACATTCTTGGGGAATGTTTTGCAGACTCAAGAAACACATTTGTAAGAGAAACTTGGCTCTTGGGCCACTAGTTTGAGACTCCTGGTCTTTGTGAAGAGGAGAGCCCTAGTCTTCAGGAATGGGGGCTTTGGGAGCTACCTAGAGGAAGGGGGGTTGAAGGCAGAGGGAGGGCTGAGGAAGGTGTGCTGTATTCTGGCAGACAGTAAGGAGAAGTGGGTGGGGCCTGGACTTGGAGGGCCTTGGCATGAGGAGTTTGGGTGATCATGAGGCTTGTGGCACCAGACTGGTGAGGGGCATGCAGCGTTATCCTGGGAGAGTGCACGTGTATCTGAACAGCTGCCCCAATGCCATCTGTCCCCTAGGCCGAGAGGTGAGCCCCGTCCATCAGTACGCCATGGCTGGGGCAGTCTCCTTTCCCTTCTTCTGGCTGGCTGGTGCAGGCTCAGCTGTCTTCTGGGTTCTGGGTGAGTATAGGGTCTGGGTGGCAGGTGTGGGTGGTGGGGGCCAGGTGAGGGGGCAAGGCCCTGAACTGTCTGTTTTCCTTCAGGAGCCACCCTCGTGGTCATTGGCTCCCATGCGGCCTTCCACCAGATTGAGGCCATCGACGGGGAAGAGCTGCAGATGGAGCCGGTGTGAGGAATCTGCCGGCCTCCAGAGCCAGCGGCCCCACCCCTGTCCTGCACAGCTCTGCTGCAGCCGAAGGCCCCCTTCCCTCATAAGTCCAGGGAACCAGCTTTGGAAATAAAGCTGCTGTAGTTGTCGTTCAGCATATACCATACTCTCCCAGGATCGTTTGTGGGTCTGTGTGGGGTGATGCTGGGATAGTACCGAGACCGAGGCAGAGGGGGCCTGCCGTGGGGGAAGACAACAGGCAAGATAAATAATAAAAACATGAAAGAGTGGCCAGTGGTGGTAAGTGCAAGGAGAAAAGAACTGGGAAGGGAGACCGTGCCAGGGGCCCTCATGTTTGATGATTTGCTAGGGGGACTTGATACACAGCTGGCTCACAGCTCTGATTTATTGTGGAAGGACGCAAAGCAAAATCAGCCGAGGATAAAGGCACTTGGGGCAAAGTCGAGAGGAAACCAGGCACGAGTGTCCCAGCGTCCTCTCCCAGCGGAGTCACACAGGACGTGCTGGCTTCCTCCAGCAGTGAACTGTGACGTGTGAAATGTCTGCCAGGGAAGCTCTTTGGCGTCTCAGTGCCCAGCTTTCTGTTAGGGCCTGGCCCCATGAGTACCCTCTACCTGACACGGACCACAATTCCAGCTCCCAGAAGGAACGAGGGTGTTCCGCGTAAACAATACCATTTGCACAGTTGAGCCACGCAAGCCCCTCCTATCGGAATGGTGGGAACTGCCCTGAAGTCCAAGTCCTCAGGTGCCAGCCACGGGCCGGCTATGCAGGCAGGCCTCTCTAAGGACAGCAGTCTCGGGCCTGCTGTGTTAACTGCACAGAGAAAGTTCTGGGGGTGAGTTACAGGTTAAAGAAGGCCTCCCTGAGGGACGTTGAGTGAAGACCTAAATTGAGTGCGGAAGCAGCTGCAGACCCTTGGGAGGAAGAATGTTCTGGGCAGAGGAAGCAGTGGGGGGTGCAAAAGCCCGGAGGCGACAGTTTCTGGAGGCCCGAGGAATGGTAAGGAGGCAGTGTGGCCCGAGCGGATGAGCCGGGAGAACTGGGAGACTTGCCAGCTTCAGTGCGAGCTCTGGTTTTACCCCGAGGCGAAAGGGACAGGGACTGCTTCTCTTTGTAATGTGAAGACGGTCTGGGGAAATGCTGACAGAAGAGGAACACCTGGTAGGGAAAGCATTAGGCAGATATGACAGCAAAGTAAGGTGACAGAGGGCCTGGAAAGCTGCTTCAGATGGGGCTGGTCCTGGAGGGCTCTCTGAGGAGGTGACATTTCAGTTAGCCCTGCGGGACATGAGCCAGCCACAGGAGGAGCTGCAGGGGAAGGGTCCTAAGCAGAGGAACAGCCTCTCTAACCTCTTAACTCACGGTTCATCATTCACTCAGCAAATGTTTAGCAAGTGCTCGCTGAGGACCCAGCGTTGTCCTGGAATCCTGTCATATATGGTGGCCATCAGCCACATGTGGCTGCTGAGCACTTGAAACATGGCTGGTCCATATTGAGACATGTTAGGAGGGTAAAACAACAGATTTCAAAGACAGTAGGACAAGGGTGTAAAATGTCTCAATTTTTTTATGTTGGAAGGATAATGTGTTAGATATACCAGTTTAAATTGTTTTCTCCTTAAAAATTTTTTTTTTCTTTATTGGTTTTAGAGAGAGAGGAAGGGAGAGGGAGAGAGATAGAAACATCAATGAAAGAGAACATTGATTGGCCCCCTCCTGCACACCTCCCACTGGGGATTTGGCTCACAACCTGGGCATGTGCCCTGACCGGGAATCGAACCAGCGACCTCTTGGTGCATGGGTCGACGCTCAACCACTGAGCCACACCAGCCGGGCTGTTTTCTCCTTTTTAATTTACTTTTTATAATTAAGTACATTTGTTGCTCGTATTCTGTTCCTACTGGACACACCGGCTAAGATGCTGGGGAAACAGGGCCACAAGCAGATGAGGCCCTGCCAGCTCAGAGCCCACATTCGGTGGGAAAGGCGGAATACACAAGCCAAACCACCAGCAACAGAAAAGTCTCAGTTGTGAGCACTCTGAAGCCAACAAAGCGGGACTGGGTGAGGCTAGAGAGCAGTTGAGGAAGGTCGAGGGCAGGAGCTCATTTAGAATGGCGAGGTGGGGCCATGCTGGGCAGTGACAAGACTGGAGGTCTTGGGGAAGAGCACTCCATCCCGAAGGACCAGCAAGTGCAAAGACCCTGAGGTTGGACCTGCTCAATGACAACGCCGTGCTTAGGAGTGAGGTGACAGCCTTGGGAGACAATGGTGGGAAGGATATTGGGGGCCAGGTCACGCAGGTCCTGCAAACCATGGTAAGATCTTTGAATTTTAGTTTAAGGTCACGTGGAACTATGGAAGGGCTTTGAACAAGGGAGGGACAGGGTCAAGTGTGAACATTAGAAATAACCCTTTGGGGTGCTGCGGGGCTGGGCTGGAGGGAGTGAGATCAGGGAGGATGAGCCAAGCTGGGAAGATGAGGCAGGTATGGAATGGAGAGAGAGACAGGGAATGAGGATTCAGGAGGAAAAGGGCCAGGACTTGGTAACTGAGCTGCATGGGAGCTGAGTGAGAGGGACCAGGCAAGGATGGGCCCCCCAGGTTTCAGGCCTCCTGTAAGATGTAAACACCGGGTGGCCTGGGTGTCTGGGTGTCTGGGTGTCTGGGTTCACACTGGTCCTAGTCACCAGGGACGTGCTTCCAGTGGCAGCCACCAGAGGGCGGGAACGTGCTTCTATCAGACCTTCTCCGAGGAGGGAGCCAGAAATAGACTTGTCCTGGGAGAGGAGACCTGGGGTGCATGATGCCCAGAGTCAGGTGCCTGGGTTACTCTGAGACCAGCGTCCCCATCCCAATGTTGGGGTATCAGGGAGCATTTTGTTTGTTGATTCAGATAACCAGTGTTCCTGGGGGAGATCAAGTTTCCATACCCATAGGCATGGAAGGGTTAGTCACTACATCCAATTTAGGCTGCTGGGCCTGGAGTGAATGTGGTCAAGTACCTTGTTGGAGGGGACTGAGCCTGGGGGCCCAGGGACCTGGAGCTGAGATCACTGAGACAAGCGGTCAGCAGCTTGGGGCTAGGAAGCAGCGGGGGGCTGAGACTCAGTCCAGAGGCCTATTCCAGGGGTGACTGACTACAGGTCCCTAATTCTGATGTTGAGTTATTGAGATGCTGAGACCAGAAGATTCCATACAGGGCTGTCAAGACTCAGGGTCTTTTTTCCCATCCATCCCTCCCTGAACAACATTGGGGTTGAGAGGTTTGTTTTGGGGTAACAGAAACTGGGGGCTTGGTGTCTCATCGAGGAGACAGAGACCAAAAGTCTGGTTGTCAATTTTGATAATGGAGGCTGATTGGGAGTGACAGATTAGGGAACTGGTTGTTGACTTCGTGATTAAAGAGCCTCACCCTGGCCCTGCCGGTGTGGCTCAGTGGTTGAGCGTCGACCCATACACCAAGAGGTCATCATGCACCCCAGGTCTCATCTCCCAGGACAAGTCTTATTTCTGGCTCCCTCCTCAGAGAAGGTCTGATAGAAGCACATTCCCGCCCTCTGGTGGCTGCCACTGGTCAGGGCACATGCCCAGGTTGTGGGCCCCACCCCAGTGGGGGGCATGCAGGGGACAGTCCATCACTGTTCTCTCTCATCGATGTTTCTTCCTCTCCGTCTCCCTTCTTCACTTTCTAAAATCAATAAAGAAAAAAAAAATTGTAATTAAAAAAAAGCCTCACCCTGGCTGGTTTGGCTCAAAGGTTAGAGTGTCGGCCTGCAGACCAAAGGGTCACAGGTTAGATTTTGGTCAAGGGCACATACCTTAGTTTCCATTCAGTCCCCGCCCTGGATGGGTCATGCGAAAGGCAACCAGTCGATGTGTCTCTCTCTCATCGATGTTTCTCTCTCTCTCTCCCCCCCCCCCACTCTATCCTCATGTGAGGATTAAAGAAAGAAAGAGCCTGTGGGCCCAGGTCTGAGGCAACGGGACAAGGGATCCAGTTGTCCATTGTGGACTGACAGAGCCTACTGGTGGGTGTCAGACTAGGCATCTGGTTGTCTTGTTTGGGTTGAGAATCCAGTTTCTGTTTTGAGGTAATAGAAATTGGGTATCTAGCCCTGGCCCGTTTGGCTCAGCGGTCAGAGCTTCAGCCTGTGGTCCAGAGAGACCGGGGTTCAGTTCCTGCTAAGGGCATGTACATCAGTTGCAGTTTGTCCCTGGCCCTGGTTGGGTTGTGCGGGTGGCAGCCACTCGATGTATCCCTTTCATATCAATGTTTCTCTCTCTCTCTCTCTCTTCCTCTCCCTCCCTCCCACTCTAACTGATCAAAAAATGGAAAAATGTTCTCGGGTGAGGATAAAAAAAAAATTGGGGCTCTATGACCAACTTTGAGGTGACAGGCTAGTGGTCATTTATCTAGCTTGGGGTGACAGAGAAGGGAATTCTTGAGGCCTGGGTTTCTAGGTGGCAAATTTGGAAGGATGACACTGGGAGTCTGTGGTCCTAGTTTGGGATGACATGGTAGGGTGTCCTGTTGGCTGGAGGCAAGCTGATTGGGGTCTGGTTGCTTATTTGAGGCACCAACGCTGTCTAGTGGGTGGTGACAGAGCCTGGGGGGCCTGTTGTATCATTTGGTACAACAGAATGGGGGGTCTCATTGCTTACTATGAAGTGACAGTGACTGGGGGTCATGTTGTTCAGTTTGGGGAACACCTGCTTGTCTAGTTTGGCCTTAAAAACACCAGTGGGTCTAGTTCTCAAAGTTTAAGTGACAGATTAGGGACTCTTTTTTCTGGTTGGGAGTGACGGGCTGGAGTTGTTCGAGGTGTCAGAGACCTGGATTCTTGTCACGGTTGTGGTGATGGGGGCTGGGATTCTAAGGTCTAGTTTGGGGTGACAGACTGAGAGTCTGATTGTCTAGTTTGGGGTGACCAACACTGGTATTCCTGGAGCTTCTTTAGGGGTATCAGAATTGGGGCCTAGTCTCTTTTGGGGTGACTGAATGGTAGTCTGGTTGTTGGCTGAGACACCAAAATTTTAAGGGTTGAGAGGCCAGACTGAGATTCAATTGCTAGTTTGGAGTGGCAGAAATTGGGGGTCTGGTGGGTGTCTAAGACTTGTGGTCTCATTTTGGATGCCA